TTACTGGTCCCTATATAGTTGCTAATAAACTATCTCCTCTCAACTATATAGTCCATGCTCCTGATCGCAGAAAAGATTCACAACTTGTTCATTAATCTCATGAAACTTTACCATTCAGGCAGTCAGAGGAAGACATCCCAGGAATATAAGTCAACCTGTATTGCATACACGGTTTTGTGGGGCCGGAGCCGGAGACAGATGACATGGACCTATTGGAGAATTTAGCTTCCCTCTACCTAAGAAAACCCTACTAACAGTCACATACTCAACAACTTGGATGAGTATTTTTCTGATTCTAGATCCATCTCAAGCTTAAAAGATCTCACTAAGTTATTATCAACATTTCCTAAAGTCACATCAGACCTCCCAGGGTTTTGCAATATACTTAAACATGATATTAAGCTAATCTCAGATGATGTACAACCCATTAGGCAATCAGCCTATCGACTAAATCCACAAAAAAGAGAGATTATGAAAAAGGAGGTAGACTTTTTGTTAAAACATAACTTAGCTGAGCCTAGTACCTCCCCCTGGGCTTCACCTTGCCTTCTCATTCCAAAACCCGATAGCACTTTTCGTTTCTGTACCGATTATCGTAAAAGTGAACCAGGTCACTGTCTCAGACTCCTACCCTTTACCTTTGATTGAAGATATAATAGATAGCATAGGCTGTGCCAAATTTATCAGTACGGGGGACTTATTGAAAGGATATTATCAGAGTGGGACTCACGGATAGGGCCAAAATAATCTCGGCATTTATAACTCCATTTGGTCTTTTCAATATTCCCCGGTTATGGCGTTTGGCTTTTCTAATGCTCCGGCCACATTCCAGAGGGCCATCAACTTCCTAATTCAGGACCTAGATTGGGACGTTCGCCTACCTGGATGACCTGGTGGTGGTGTCGGACAGCTGAGACGCACCAGGTGATCACCTCCTTCGCGCCCGCGCTACGGAGGTCTTTGGAGGGGGGGTGTTACGAACCCCTCCACCCAGCACTACGAACCACGCCATCTATTGTCCTGATCTACCTACCCAGCACCACGAGCAACGCCATCTAGGGACGAGACACGAGTATGACTCGTCTTAGTTAACACTCCGAGGTTTCCCTTCTCCATATCCTGGTTGTTGCGTCACTTCCTCCAAGTCTTCTTTGTGAGCTCCAATTCGAGGAGAGAGCACTTGGCTCTGGGAAGTGACCACAGGATCATCTATCCTCTAAACCTACGGCGCAGTGACTGCCTACCGTCTTCTACAATACTCAGCCTTACTCGTCAGCCATCTCAGCTCCTCACTTAAGTATTTGTATCTTGTATTGCCTCCCCCACGTCCACTTGCTTCAAAATTGTTTTATGTTGTATTAATATGTATATACTGTTAATGTTTAGGTTAAGTTTGGTTAAGGGTAATTTATAAGCTGAATATTTTGTTAAGGGATTTATGGTACTCTATTATACACAACGAAAACTCGCATCCTTTGTCTACCCTTTTATAGTCCGATTGTCTTTGTTTTTGTTTTTTTGTTACCTGTTGATCTGGGTAGACGTATAACTATATCCCTCTAAATCCCCAACCGTAACAATCTCAATAAGTTACTTCTTGAACATAATTTATATGAGCGCTCAATATAAAGTGATTCCTGAGACAACCGAGAAAGACAACAATTGAACCTTACAAATAAAAAAAATACTGTTATTAGAGCAATAAATATTTACGCTTGAGTTGATATTATTTTTAAAGCACAATCAATAAAATCAAATAGCCTGGGTAAAAAGCAAGATATTAGTTGTTGTTTGGGTGCTTTTACAAAACTCAGCTGTCTCAGGGGATCAAATAACAGGAAGCTTTGTATAGGGAAAATACTGAGAGGAAAAAGAAAGTGCCCTAGAGTCTAGGGCATTCGTAGTGGAATTTCAAAATACATGGAACCAACATTGTCTGCTGTATTGCTCCTCAGATTTCCCCTGACGATGTCAACCTAAAGAAAAACTATCTTAACTACTGCATCTTCAGTTTACATTAATGCCGCTAAAAGCTGTGCATTATCTCTGTACAAGTGGCACTCAATATTAAGTGCCTCTTTCAATTTATTTATTCAACTTTTCCCTTATTTCTTCTTTCCTTCTGATTGTCTAAAATATTTTGTTACTCGGCTTGTTTATATTCAGCATTTCCTACTATATAGACTTATTTCTACTCTCACGTTCTTTTATTTTATTTCAAATTTGTTCTTATTTCTCTCTCTCTCTCTCTCTCTCTCTCTCTCTCTCTCTCTCTCTCTCTCTCTCTCTCTCCGGACAAGACACATCCACCACCAGCTCATTTTGCTGTTGTTTGAATATTTAATAAGTCCTTTACTTGTGCGTCCTTAGTATTATATTGTTGTTTATTATCTATAGATTACTCTGATGATGGTTACTGCAGTAACAGAAACGTCAGCTAAGAAAGAAGATTAAATGTCAAGATGTCCATCCCTGTGTCTACCTTGGATTTGCTTCAAACATAGGTTGGGATATGAGCAATAGGGTTGGGTGTAAAAGGGACTGTCCAGTTTGGGACAATAGGCCTTTTGCAGTATCCTCCATTCTTATGTTCTTATGTTCTTATACAATACCGATTTTCAAGGGAGATAGATCACTATTCTCTAACTACCGTCCACTCAGTATAACATTAATCATCAATTGTAGGCAAATTGCTGGAATCAATAATTTCAAAATCTATTCGAAATCACCCCGAGAAGCACAAGTTGATCAATGATTCCCAACATGGCTTCACAAGCGGCCGTACATGTCTGAAAAACCAATTAACATACTTTTCAACTGTTTCCGCATCAGTGGATGACGGACACCATTGTGATGTGGTTTACCTCGACTTTAGCATAGCTTTCGACAGAGTCCCCAACAAAAGACTAATACTAAAAGTGGAGGCTCATTGAATTGGAAGCGATATCCTAAAATGGATTAGGTCATGGTTACAGGACAGGAAACAGCGAGTAAGCATTAACGGCATTAAATCCGATTGGGGTAACGTCACTAGTGGAGAACCCCAAGGCTCTGTATATGGACCATTACTATTTATTATATACATAAATGACATAGACCTAGGCGTACATAGCAACATAAGTAAATTTGATGACGACACTGAAATAGGCCGTGTAATTAAATCTGATGAGGACTCGGCAAAACTACAGGAAGATCGAAACAAATTTTTTGCATGATCTGAAAAATGGCAGATGAAATTCAGTATGGACAAAAATGTTAAGTACTTAGTATAGAAGATGTAAACAAAGAAACCTAATATCAGATGAAAAACTTTGTTTTGGAGAAATCCGATTGTGAGAAACGTTTAGGAGTAATGATAAGGAGGAATCTTAAGCTTTAACAAAGACAACAATGCGTATTTGCTCGAAACAATGCTAACAAAGTACTGGGGTTCATACAAAGGAGTGTTAGTTACAAGACAAAAGAGGTTATCCTAAAACTATATTTTTCATATGGAAGACCCTCACTTAGATTATGCGGTTCATTTCTGGTCACCATACTACAGAATGGAAACAGAATCCCAAAAAAGCATTCAGAGGACGATGACAAGACTAATCCGGGGCATTAGGAACCTTGAGTACAGAGAATTATTAAAGCATCTTAATATGCAATCCCACGAGAGACGTAGATTGAGAGGCGTTAGAATCGAGGTGTATAAATGGAGGGCAGGGCTAAACAAAGGTTATATAACAAATGTACTCACACTATCCAACCAGGAGAGAACTCGTAGCAATGGTTTTGAATTAGACAAAAATTTTGATTTAGGCGCGAGATAGGTAAACCCTGGTTTGGAAATAGAGTAGTGGATGAGTAGAACTAAGTTAACGAACTTCATCATAACTCCAACACGCTGGGTAGCTTCAAATATACTACTGTATAGGGTGGTCGGATATATAAACGATTGGGGTTCGGTGTAAACGGGGCTGCCCAGTATGGGCCAATAGAATGGCTACAGATATTATATATTTTTTTTTTATGGGGATTAGCCCACCCGGGCACAGGTCACTGACCCACATAAGGGCCCGGGGAGCGAAAATTTAATAATAATAATAATTCATAGTAAATAAAATTTATATTAAAAAGTAAAATAAAATATTAATGGTAATAATAATAATAACAACACTGTGATAATAATAAATACAAAGAAATACATGAATGAAAAAGATTCAACAGTGAGAAACGCTATATGTGTGTTGTTTTGTCATGTAATAGAAACAATTGAGACCCTACAATTGTGTGCAAATGAGGCAGAAAGTCAGATCAGCAACCTGGGACTTGGTCACAATTTTCGTGATGCCATATGGCAGCAGGGTCTACCATACATATATATATATATATATATATATATATATATATATATATATATATATATATATATATATATATATATATATATATATATATATATATATATATGTGTGCGTGTGTGTGTGTGTGTGTGTGTGTGTGTGTGTGTGTGTGTGTGTGTGTGTGTTCCAAAAGTTATATGTAAATGAACCTCTTAAGTGAGAATTGTATGACAACAGAAAATATATGATAAATGAAGCACTATGGCTCTTTATCTTGTTTTTATTTCTTTGGGGATTTATAAAAGATATTTAGAATTCCATCTGCCATAAAAATCTTAAAAGATAAACAAAGAGAATCTCTTTTAATACGTCTTTATTAAAACCAGAAAACGATGACGAGATCTTTCTGTGTAAGTGGGCGACTCTGTGCTGGTACGAATTAGCGTACGAGAGAAAGTTTAAATCATAAGGTTAGAATGAAGAACACAGAGGGCTAAGAATATATACGAAAATATTTCAGATGACGAGAAATCATTTAGCAACAAGTACCAATAGAACTTCAGGGACTGAGGCTAGAAATATGAACGTGTTTTCAAGCAGATTACAAGAAAAAAAGTTCTCAGAGTTGATAAGAGATAACTATCTGGACGAGTGAGGAGTAGTATATAAGAGGGTGGTACGACACTTTACAACCACCATCACCATGAAGGTCCTCATCTTGTGCACACTGGTGGCCGCGGCTGCCGCCTGGCCAAGCTTCAGCTACCAGAACGACGCCTCAGGTGAGCTCATATTGTACTTATACACTCTAAACCTACTCCATTACTTCGTGTATTAATTCAGCTTTTACACTTACACTTCTCTCACAAACACACAGTAGCATTAATGGCAAAATTATTTACAAATGGTATAGTAGTGTGTACAAACTCATAGTCGAACACATACACATCCCTGAACGACTGTTTATAATCACATTTTCAAATATTTATGCCCTTCCCCTCACACACATACAGTACATGCACACAAATAATATATTTAAACACGCATACTCATACACATAGATACAAACGCATATACGTTAATAATATGCACAGATCCACAAGGACATGTTTCAACTACACCATTATTTATCAAAACTCAATCACATCGTAATTAAAGTCAAGTATGCATCATTAATTTAAATAAAAACTAAATGTGGGAAACTTGAGAGAGTACATATTACATGTATATTATTAAGGCATGAGACCCTTCCAGTCTGCACATGTGTATGGTGATGTGTAGATGAAAAAAAAAGTGCATGTAAATGAGAAAAAAATTAGAAAATACTTAACGTTCCCTAACCTAATGCACATAGAGTTCTAATAAAAATTAAGCAATTATTAAAAAACAAAGTTAAAACATGAAGTTTTGTAGAAACTACAAAAAAATCATAAAATATTTAGTGGCATTGTATTATCATTGAACTTATAATTATAATCATTCTTATAGCTAAGTGGAATGGGTTTGATTAACATTAGGGAGCAGCAACTTTATACAATATCCGTATAATTAAGATTTGGCGCTGATGTTTCATTGTCATAAACTAAACACAGGCTTGTTGCTGTAATGGACTGCCACTCTAGCAGATAAAGAAAAATATTATATTCCCTAAACAGAACATTTCATTCTATTTTACTTTTATAAGTACAAAGATGCATTCCCGAGAATTTAAAAAAACTGACGTAGTTCATACTTTTTTTCTTTTTGTAGGTGACAGTACAGCCAAAAGACAACAGGATGTCAACCATCTGCTGGATAGAATTTACGACCATCTTCATTATTCCGACCTGAAGCAAATCTCCGACACCTTCAGCCCTGAGGCTGACACTTCCATGTATACAGATGGTGGCGCAGCCGCCCATCATCTTATGGAAGAGCTCAATGATCACAGATTGTTGGAGCAGCATCATTGGTTCTCTCTTTTTAACCCACGCCAGCGTGAAGAAGCTCTCATGCTTTTTGATGTTCTGATGCACTGCAAGTCTTGGGAGTGCTTTGTTGACAATGCCGCCTTCTTCCGTGAACGTATGAATGAAGGAGAATTCGCTTACGCACTCTATACAGCAGTCATCCACTCTGAGTTGGGACAAGGTATTGTATTACCTCCACTCTATGAAATCACTCCCCACATGTTCACCAACAGCGAAATCATCCACAAGGCTTACACTGCTAAGATGACCCAGACACCAGGCAAATTTGAGATGAAATTCACAGGAACAAAAAAGAACAAGGAACAACGAGTAGCCTACTTCGGTGAGGACATTGGCCTCAATATTCACCACGTTACTTGGCATATGGACTTCCCCTTCTGGTGGAAGGACTCCTATGGTTACCATCTTGATCGCAAGGGCGAACTATTCTTCTGGGCCCATCATCAACTCACTGTACGCTTTGACGCTGAGCGCCTCTCTAACTGGCTAGACCCAGTTGACGAGCTGCACTGGGAGAGTATTATTCATGAAGGTTTTGCACCACATACCAGCTACAAGTATGGTGGTGAGTTCCCTGCACGACCTGACAACGTTCACTTTGAGGATGTGGACGGTGTAGCTCATGTGCGTGACATGATTATCATCGAGAGTCGCATTCGTGACGCCATTGCTCACGGTTACGTGACCGATAGGGATGGCCACCACATCAACATCAGGAACGATCACGGTATTGACATCCTCGGGGACATCATTGAATCATCCGTGTACAGCCCCAACGCCCAGTATTATGGTGCACTGCACAACACAGCTCACATAATGCTTGGCCGACAAGGTGATCCCCATGGCAAGTTCAACATGCCTCCCGGTGTGATGGAACACTTTGAGACTGCCACCCGCGACCCAAGTTTCTTCCGACTTCACAAATACATGGATAACATCTTCAAGGAACACAAAGACTCACTTCCTCCTTACACCAAATCTGACATTGAGTTTACTGATGTGGCGGTTGAAAAAGTTGAAATTATTGGGCAGCTTAGGACATTCTTCGATGAATTTGAGTTCAGTCTCGGCAATGCTGTGGATAAATCTGATAATGTTCAAGATGTGGCCATTACCTCCTATGTTCACCGTCTCAACCATGAAGAATTTACTTACAACATTCAAGTAAAAAACAACAATGAAAATGGAGTGCTGGCCACTGTCCGCATCTTCCTATGTCCCTCGCAGGACAGTAACGGCATCCATATTCATTTGTCAGAAGGACACTGGTCCTGCATTGAGATGGACAAGTTCTACAAGCAACGTGAGTCCCCTTTAATTTCTCAGACTTTACACACACACACACACACACACACACACACACACACACACATATATATATATATATATATATATATATATATATATATATATATATATATATATATATATATATATATATATATATATATAAACACGACCACAAAAAATTATAATGAAATTTGCTTGAATATATATTTGACAAAGTGTAAAATCTTAAGTG